GAGGAAATCTTCTGAAGTGGATTCAAGATTTCATAAAAGGTCGTAGACAAAAAGTCACTGGGGGTGGCTACTGCCCAAAATGGGCACCTGCTACAAATGGAATCCCACAGGTGTCAGTTCTTGGGCCCTCCTATTCATTATCTATGTAAAAGACCTAGTACGGGGAATGAAATCGGACATTGCGCTCTTTGCAGACGATCTTAAACTTTGGAGAGCGATTAAATATGACGTCAATATACTACAAGAGGACGTAGAGAATTTGCACGAATGGAGCGAGAATTGGTGCATGAAATTCCACGTCAAAAATGTGCAGTAATGCACGTCGTATCAGCGAGGCAAGGAGTAAATGCGCCCTCTCGACGGTATCTCTTGAAAAATCAACTACTTAAAACCGTAGACGCGCAAAAAGATTCGGTATATTTATTAAAGACGATCTAAGCGTCGCCATGCGGTGTTCTAAAGTCGCTGCGCGGGAAATGTCAGTCATAAGCACGATAAGCAGAATGTTTATTCACTTGAATAGAGATGTCTTTGGCAAATTATCTTGGACATTTGTGCGGCCGCACCTGGAATTTGCGGTACAGGCTTGGCGGCCGTGGCTTCGGTAGGATATAGATATACTTGAAGGTGTACAACGGCGTGCTACAAAGGCTCTTCATGGCCTCAAAAAGTTCAGGTACGAGCAGCGCCTGACGGCCTTGAACCTCTATCCCCTCCACTATAGGCAGGACAGAGGTGACCTCATAGCAACGTTCCAGTTAATAAAAGGACTTAATCTGGATGTCGACTGGGAAACGTTTTTTGAAATAGCACCCAAGTCTGATCTCAGGCGACATGATTACCAGCTTAAAAGGGAATTGTGCCACACAAATCACCGTTCCTCCTTTTTCTCACAGAGGGTCATTCGCCAATGGAACTCTTTGCCGGAGTGTGTTGTTAATTCCCCTACCATGAACGTGTTCAAGAGACAACTTGATACTTACCGGCTGAAAGGCAACCCGAATTGCCGAAGCCTGGTCTAAAGGATTACTGAAATGAATACAAATGCACTACTAATATGATTCCAACAGATCCCATTTTGTGCGTCAAACTTAGTCCATATTGAAATTTTCACGGTCCGAATGCGGTGAACAAAGTTTTTTCGCAACTATTTTGCGAATATAGTACCCCTTTCGCCTTTATGTTACATTATTAGATTTATGAATTCTTCTCACTAAAACTGAAAGCAAATTTTTCGCAATTTAACTATTTTCTCTTACATCTGTACCGTCTAAATGGAGTTTTCAGGGTTTCTGTCGTTTACTCCAAATATACTGACTGACTGACATAACTACCGATGGATACCATGATTGGGTAAAGCATTCTTGCTGTCTGTCTATGTAATGTCAAGGTTGATTTCGACATATAATCCGCTGCCAAATAACTGACTGCCCTGTGCACAGTGGTCGCCGATAATTTGGGCTATAGGATAAAGCGTTTCGTAAACGTTTCTGATTTTATTGTCGATTATCAGAGTGGGTGAGGATAAGGGGCTGGAAAGTAGACGCTCCTCGCCAGCTGGTCCGGTAAATGCTTAACTTTCTGCAAATCTTTTTTAATGTAAAAAATGAAATTCGTTAGGGTTCCACCGGAGATTTGCTGGGCTGACTAAAGACATGGGCTGCTGAGAAGGAGCAGATGTAGTTGCTCAAACAGGGGTTGTTTCGCCTTGAATTTCGGGATCGACACTCTGACCCATCATCAAAGACAGCATCGGACTAGAATTCGAGAAGGCGATCAAAGCTTCCAGCGCATATATTTTTTGTTTCAGCAGCCACCTGCCTCCCTCGCATGTCTAATACTACTCGAATTTGTGCTTTTATCGACAATCCGTTTGTGCGGAAGGCACTCCAGTCCACCTGGAGTATGTTACTCTCATTCGAGCACTTTTCGACTTGGGGTAGATTGCTCTGTATTACCTGGAAAATAAGGTCACTTAACGTTGGTTGGCATTCGTCTTAGCCAGGTTTCAAACAAATTACGACACACAAACCTTTGAGCAGATCCGGAAAGTTCTTTGCATTATACTTAATATCTTTATAGGA